AGGATCAGCATCAGGACCATCTGTAAAAGAAGTACATTAATTATAGTCTATATTCATCACATACCATTGTTATTGTATCCAGTATCAGTATATGCTCCAACCACTAGTGTTTGATTCACTCCATTCTCATCAGGAATGATACACTTGTATAAACCTTCATATCCAGATAGTCCACCTCTTCTAGCTAATGAAATCTGACCACTGAATCTTTTACTGAACACTGGACTAGGAGCTGATGGATCAGTGAAGTTGCCATCAAATAAAGGTACTTCAGTTCCATTAGGATAATACCACACTCCAATATTAGCACTATTGTTAGCACTCTGACACCACAAAGCATCATTTATATCATTTAAATCATTATTCTCATCTTTATCATAAAACTGGCTAGCATGTATCATAGAGTAATCAGGTATTATCCTGTCCTGATAAGGTAAATAAAGTTGAGCACCTAAAAAAGATATTGTCTCGACAAATTTTATACTCTCAGTTTTACACATACCCTTGCTTGGTAGAAGGAAAGATGGTGGTGCTTGTCCTAGTCCTAGTTGAACTAGCCCCAGTATAATACTCCATAAAATAATGACATGATTAAAAGTAAGATTTAGTGTCAATCTCCTCATTTTGTATACTTCAAGCAGTATGGTTAGAAATATAATGCAGCAGTTTATAACTGACAGCAAAAATAACATTGTGACACTGCATACCTGAATGTGAGTGTAGATCTAGTATAATCAGCAATACTTATCTTACAACTTCAGTTGAAGTAGTAATAGTAGCTTTATGAGTAGAATATAGATAGACTTGAACTACTTGAGAGTGTCATCCTTTTCCCCTAAAATAATGCACTGCTCTTACTTGTTGATCTAGTTAGTTTTTTATTAAATAAATAACTCTTCCCCAAAACTAACAGAATCATGACATAGGTCTAGCTCAGAATGTATAAAGCCCTATTCTTTAAATTTTGAAACAAAATTAAATTATGCATAAACACATACATATGTACATTATCTAGCACCAAAAGTTCATAATCAAAATGTAATATAATATTTAGAATTACTTTCATGTTCAATTTTTAAGGTCCAAAATTCAGAATTGATTAGTGCATTAGTGTATATGGCGTAGCTAAAAATTGTACCCCTGGAGATTGTAAAGAGTTGTAAAGAGGCTAATTGTTGGAAATTAATCATTATCTGAATGTCCATAAACGTTGCTAATTGCTGCTATTTAAAAAAGTTTATTTCAAGCATAATGTAGTTGTGGTATTTTAACTAAAATTGGTAAACATTTCTAATTGTAACACAAACACATCTCATGATTGTACTATCCACCAGTAACCAAATACATCATGTAAATTGTATTGCATAATAGTAATGTTGTACATAAAAGATGAGTACATTATTAAACAGTTGAAAATAATGACACAGCCTGATAACTACAATACAATAGATCTATGTTACAGTGCATGGGTGTATAGATCTAATACGAAAAAAATCCGATAATATACTAGAAACAGGTGCTACTGCTTATCCTCAGTTTTGACAGTTTGTTCATTTTGCTGAAAAGGTAAAAATAGACAAAAGCAACCTTCTCATTAAAATTCATGTGTAAAGCAATAAGCCACGCCCCTAGTAATAATGACACTGGGTGTGATGAGGAAGAGTCCAGAGCTATTGCAAGCTAAACACATCCTAATCTTGTGTAAAAACAATGTACCTACTATCAAGAGTAGATCTACTCTTGATACTATAGAAATTTAACTTTATGTTCATAATTCATTAGCAAACTACATGGCAAAAACTGATAAGTACTATAAATTAATAATACAGGCATTCACACATATTGAGAAATTAATGCAGGTAAAATACCTTAAGCCACTATTATTTGCAAGCACTAATTTTTGCGCTTTTTGCGAGTGGCTTTAAAATCGTAAAAATTAGAACTTGCATTTATTAATAATCTAGATTTATTAATAGTTATTAATTGAAAAAAGAACAAAATCGCTAAAATTAGTATTGCTAAATCAATACCATTAACAAATCGCAAATATTTGTCTATTAAAAATAAGTGGCTTTAAGGTAGTATACACTGACGTAGCCAAGAGTATACAGATAGTTTGTACACTAGCAAAAATATGATTAAGTTATAAATCAGTCACAGATGGTATTTCATATTCAGTAGAAGGTGGTGGAAGAGAAGTCTCATATTCATCAATAGTTGTATCATACACTGGCTCAACAGTTGATCTATTAATAATAACTTTAAATAATAATAATAATTGTATTTTATATAACTGACTGTGTTTGTTGTACTATATCATATGTTGCACTATCCTTCACTGATACATCATCAGTAGTACTGTATATGTATGTATGTATAATAGACATAATCTAATAGTCAATAGTTTAACTAACTTTGTTTTAAATTCAGTTGTAGTATAAGCTGGACTGCACTCCATTACAATATCATTATCTAATTTTCTATGACCCACAAACATTGAAGTAATGAATGCATGCATTTATATACCTCTTTTGATTAATATTAGTTCTTTTTATGTACATAACCAGTATTAATATAACTATTATAGATACAGCCACTAGTGATGCTGATACTATCACAACAACTATCCATCCAGCAATATTCCCTCCATTATTTTCTAATACAGTAACAGTAGTTGTCACAGTAGCACAAACTATTAGTAGAACTAAATACAATTTTTCATTATAAACTTGCTTACCATGAGCAGATGATAAAGACACTGTTGATGAAATCAACACTGCTAATGCAAGTCAGTAAACTGATAATAATGGGTTTGTGTTATCTTACTTGTTGATGTTCCTGTAACAGTGACTGGTGAAGTACCTGTAACATGACCATTGTGTGATTGATATATGACCAGTGTCCAGTGACTTACCTGATGTTTGAATCGCAGTTGGTGCCCTTGATACTGCAGTAGGAGTTAAAGTGAGATCTAATGTATAACCAAACCATAGATTTAAGTTATTTCACTTTTATATACTTGGTGGTATTTTTTGAGTCCTCTTTCCTTCATAAATGATTCCATTAACATTAAATGATACAGATATAGAGAACAAATAGTTCAGATTAGGATCTAATCCTCCTATTAGACCTTCAGTAGTATCACCTGGGAATACTCTCATTCCTGTCTCTACTTGTCTCTTCTTTCTTGAGGAGCTACTGGTTGACTCATAATAGACAGTATAATGGCTAGCTCTAGAAACAAAACCCCACTCAGCCCTCACTACTGTAGAATTGAACTTTGTTATAGAGAAGGTTTGAATGACAGCTAAATAACAAAATAATATAAAATTAAAGAAATAATAATATCTTACGTATTTCAGCAGTAGTATATTCTCTATGAGTCCATTCTCCTGGTCCAATACTAGTATATGCTCTCCCTCCAATAGTATAACTAGTATTAGGTATCAATCCTACTATATTGTAATAAGTGTTAGTAGTGTTAGTTATATTGTATGGACCAGTACTGGTAGACTCTCTAAATCTTATCTCATATACTGCAATGATACCATTAGGTATTGTAGGAGGTTTCCATACAATATTTATTGCATTTGGGTTTCTTCCATGTCTTAGATCAGATATCACACCAGGAACTGTGTTAAGATCATGTTAAACTGATCAATATCTCATTGACTTACTTGATTCACCAGTTAATTGTATTTCTTGTCTAGCTGGTCCATTCATATTATAATTATAAGGTATTATACTCACAGTATAGTTAGTATATGGTATTAATCCTGTGAGATTATACATTCTGTTGTCTCCTCCAGTGATATTAACAGTATAACTAGTGTTTGAAGTGATGTTAGTGTATGTGAGGTAGTATCCAGTGATTGGTCCATTTCTTCCATTGCAAGGTACTCCATCCCATGAGACGGTCATTGACACTGACTCTACTGATGAGAATATAATATCACCCACTGGTGCAGTAGGGGCTAAAGGAAGTATAATGACAATAAATATCACTATAATGTTCTCTTACCAGTAGAAAGTGTAGTAACTAAATAATTAGTAATCAAATAAGCTAGTTCAGCTCCATATACTCCAATAAGATCAAAGGTACATTGACTGTAAGGAGGTATACCAGTTGAAGTATGTGGTGATGAAACTGATGTTTCACTATTACTAGTGACTAATGATTCACATACTCTTTTACATCTCCTATTGATATTATAACTAATCGGTACTACAGTATTAGGTGGACTCCATTTCAAGTTAATAAAAGAAGCTGTAGTTGTAGTCACCGTAAAATCATCCATTACTGGATTACCTAAATAACATTATAGCAGTTAACTTTAATTATGTACTGATACTCACTAATTGTTAATATAACTGAAGCATTACCACTAGGTAGAGAAGCTGATTCATAAGATACTACATAGAAATTGTATGTACTTCCTTGGACCAATCCTGATGTTATATTGATTGTTGTATAACTAGTGTTGGATACACTAACAGGAGTATTACTAGACAGTTGATAGTAGACCTCATAACCAGTAGCTCCTGATACAGTAGACCAGGAGAGTCTTACATGAGATAAACCAGTACTTAATCTTGTAGCAGTTAAACCAGTTGGAGTATCAGATACTGAAAATAAAGCATAATAATTAATAATTAATGCTGATGCAAACCTGATAAACTCAAAAATGTGTTACTACTTGTTGCCTGAACACCTCCAATAACACCATTAGTACCATCAGACACTCTGGCATTAAATACATTACACTGATAGTTACCAGTTTCTCTTCGTCTCACTGTTACTGTCACTCTTGTAACAGATCCTGATCCATTCACTATCACACGAGACAGTTCAGTAGATATTCCACTCCCATTCACTGAACAACTGACAGTAGTAGGAGGACCATCAGAGACATTGAAGCTGAGACTGAAGACTGGAGGAGTAGCTAATCTACTAGTGGAGAGGAGAGAGAACTGCATAGTAGGATCAGCATCAGGACCATCTGTAAAAGAAGTACATTACAATTATAGTATATATTTATCACATACCATTGTTATTGTATCCAGTATCAGTATATGCTCCAACCACTAGTGTTTGATTCACTCCATTCTCACCAGGAATGATACACTTGTATAAACCTTCATATCCTGATAGTCCATCTCTTCTAGCTAGTGCAATCTGACCACTGAATCTTTTACTGTACACTGGATTAGGAGCTGATGAATCATCAAAGGGTCCATCAAATAAAGGTACTTCAGTTCCATTAGGATAATACCACACTCCAACATTAGTACTAGTGTTAGCACTCTGGCACCACAAAGCGTCATTGGTGTCAAGATGGTCATTATTCTGATCAATATTATAAAACTGTCTAGCATATATCATAGAGTAATCAAGTATTATCCTGTCCACATAAGCTAGGTACAATTGAACACCTAACGAGTATGAGTACAAATCTATTAATTCCAAACAATTAGGTCTATTGCTTTTCTTACCATTATTGGGTAAAAGAAAAGATGGTGGTGCTTGCCCAGATACAGTCATCAGATGAACTAGAGTTAGTATGAGTAAAATAAAACAAGAACAAGTTGAGAATGCCACTCGTGGTGCCATGATTGCCATCTTGCTCTAAAAAAATAACTCCTCCCAATAGTCTAGTCTAAATATTTTTTATAGTTCAACACAACTCAATGTAGATGTTTGCATTAAGCCCATTTCTAGATGTAGTATTTTAACTAACATTATTAAGCATTTCTATTATTGTAACACAAACACATCTTATATAATATTATCCACTGGTAATGTTATGCTGTATGTACATCAAATACATTAGGAGAATATAAAAAGAAGAGCACATTATTAAACAGTTGGTATTTCATATTCAGTAGAAGGTGGTGGAAGAGAAGTCTCATATTCATCATTAGCTGTATCATACACTGGCTCAACAGTTGATCTATTAATAATAACTTTAAATAATAATAATAATTGTATTTTATAAAACCAAGACTGACTGTGTTTGTTCACTTTGTTGTACTGTATCATATGTTGGACCATCTTTCACTGATGCATCATCAGTAGTACTGCATGTGTATGCATGTATATATATATATTATTTACATAATGAACTAGTCATGAACTAACTTTGTTTTAAATTCAGTTGTAGCATAAGCTGGACTGCACTCCATTACAATGTCATTATCTAATTTTCTAAGAACCACAAATTTTAAGTAATGAATGCATTCATTTATATACCTCTTTTGATTAATATTAGTTCTTTTTATGTACATAACCAGTATTAATATAACTATTATAGATACAGCCAATAGTGATGCTAATACTGTCACACCAATCCATACAGTGATATTTCCTTCATTAACAGTAGTTGTCACAGTAGCACAAACTATTAGTAGAACTAAACATAATTTTTCATTATAAACTTGCTTTATACCATGAGCAGATGATAAAGACACTGATGATGATGAAGTTGACACTACTAATGCAAATAAGTAAACTGACAATAATGAGTTTGTGTTATCTTACTTGTTACTGTTTCTGTAACACTAATATCAGCTAAATAAATGACAGTTAAAAATACATTTAATATTAGAGATAAATATTTAGCATTGGACTATACCTGGTATTGGTTGAGTCCTCTCTCCTTCATAAAAGATTCCATTGACATTAAATGATATAGATATAGAGAACAAGTAGTTCAGATTAGGATCTAATCCTCCTATTAGACCTTCAGTAGTATCACCTGGGAATACTCTCATTCCTGTCTCTACTTGTCTCTTCTTTCTTGAGGAGCTACTGGTTGACTCATAATAGACAGTAAAATGACTAGCTCTATAAACAAAACCCCATTCAGCCCTCACTGCTGTAGAATTGAGCTTTGTTATAAAAAAGGTTTGAATGACAGCTAAAAATTTTAAAACATTATCATCATAGTATTCTCAGTAATTTCTTACGTATTTCAATAGTAGTGTATTCTCTATTAGTCCATTCTCCTGGTCCAATACTAGTATATGCTCTCACTCCAATAGTATAACTAGTGTTAGGTATCAATCCTGCTATACTATAATAAGTGTTAGTAGTGTTAGTTATATTGTATGGACCAGTACTGGTAGACTCTCTATATCTTATCTCATATACTGTAATGATACCATTAGGTATTGTAGGAGGTTTCCATACAATAGCTATTGCAGTTGGTGGCTTTGCATGTCTTAGATCAGATATCAGACCAGGAACTGTGTTAAGATCATGTTAAACTGATCAATATCTCATTGACTTACTTGATTCAGCAGTTAATTGTATTTCTTGTCTAGCTGGTCCAGTCATATTATAATTGTAAGGTATTATACTCACAGTATAGTTAGTATATGGTATTAATCCTGTGAGATTATATATTCTGTTGTCTCCTCCAGTGATATTAACAGTATAACTAGTGTTTGAAGTGATGTTAGTGTGTGTGAGGTAGTATCCAGTGATTGGTCCATTCCTTCCATTGCAAGGTACTTCATCCCATGAGACAGTCATTGACACTGACTCTGCTGATGAGAATATAATATCATCTACTGGTGCAGCAGGGGCTATAAGAAGTAATGACAATAAACATTATTATAATGTCCTCTTACCAGTTGATAGTGTAGTAGCTAAATAATTAGTAGTCAATAAAGCTAATTCAACTCCATATACTCCAATAAGATCAAAGCCACATTGACTGTAAGGAGGTATACCAGTTGAAGTATGTGGTGATGAAACTGATGTTTCACTATTACTAGCGACTGATGATTCACATACTCTCCTACATCTGCTATTAATATTATAACTAATTGGTACTATAGCAGTTGGTGGACTCCATGTTAATGTAATGGCAAAAATTGTGATTACAGTACCCATAAGGTCATTAACAATTGGATTACCTATAATAATACATGCACATGTGTGCTAATTAAAACAATCACTTACTAAATGTTAACATAACTGAAGCATTACCACTAGGTAGAGAAGCTGATCCATAAGATACTACATAGAAAGTGTATGTAATCCCTCGAATCAATGATGATGTTATATTGAATGTTGTTGAAGCAGTAGTGCCTGCACTAACAGGAGTGAAAGTTAAGAATTTACTGTAGACCTCATAACCAGTAGCTCCTGATACAGTAGACCAGGAGAGTCTTACATGAGCTAAACCAGTACTTAATCTTGTAGCAGTTAAGCTAGTTGGAGTATCAGATACTGAAAATATGATTAATATTTATTTTAATATATGAGTCATTAACCTGATATACTTAATGATGAAGTACTAATAACTACTTGAGAACCCACACTGCCTTTAATAGGACCATTAGTTACTCTTGCATTTGATACAGTACACTGATAGTTACCAGCTTCAGTCAAGTTTGTTACTGTCACTCTTGTAACAGATCCTGATCCATTCACTATCACACGAGACAGTTCAGTAGATATTCCATTCCCATTCACTGAACAACTGACAGTAGTAGGAGGACCATCAGAGACATTGAAACTGAGACTGAAGACTGGAGGAGTAGCTAATCTACTTGTGGAGAGGAGAGAGAACTGCATAGTAGGATCAGCATCAGGACCATCTGTAAAAGAAGTACATTAATTATAGTCTATATTCATCACATACCATTGTTATTGTATCCAGTATCAGTATATGCTCCAACCACTAGTGTTTGATTCACTCCATTCTCATCAGGAATGATACACTTATATAAACCTTCATATCCTGATAAGTAATCTCTTCTAGCTAGTGCTATCTGACCACTAAATCTCTTACTGTACACTGGATTAGGAGCTGATGAATCATCAAAGTCTCCATCAAATAAAGGTACTTCAGTTCCATTAGGATAATACCACACTCCAATATTAGTAACATTGTTAGCACTCTGACACCACAAAGTATCGATGATATCATTAACATCATTATTATAATCATAATCATAAAACTGGCTTGTGTACATCATAGAGTAATCAGGAATTATCCTGTCTTGATAAGGTAAGTACAACTGAACACCTGAATATGAGTATAGTCTGTAATTAGCAATACTTATTCTCTTACCATTACTGGGTAGAATATTAGAAGGTGGTTCTTGTCCAGACAAATGTACAGACTTCAGTTGAAGTAGTAATAGTAGCTTTATGAGTAAAATAGAACAACTTGAGTGTGTCATCCTAGAATGATGCACTATAATCTTACTTGTAAATCTAGTTCGTTTTTTTATTGAAAAAATAACCCAACCTTAAAACTAACAGAATCATGTGAGCTATGAGTTGTTCATGACATAGTTCTATTTAGCTCAAAATGTATAGAGCTATGTTTTAAAATTTTTGAAAAAAAAATTATACATAAACATATGCATATGTATATTTTCTAGCACTAAGTATTATAATCAAAAATGTAATATATTATTCAGAAGTGCTTTCATGTTCAGGTTTTTAAATGTCCATAATTCAGAATTGATTAGTGCATTGGTGTATTGTTGTTAGAAATTGTAACTGTGGAGATTGTAAAGAGGCTAATTGTTGGAAATTATTCATTATTTGAATGTCTATAAACGTTGCTAATTGTTGCTATTTAAAAAGTTTATTATGTACATAATGTAGATGTGGTATTTTAACTAAAATTAGTAAACATTTCTAATTGTAACACAAACACATCTCATGATTGTACTATCCACCGGTAACCAAATACATTATGTAAATTGCATTGCATATAGTAATGTATGTACATAAAAGATGAGTACATTATTAAACAGTTGGAAAATGATGACACACATTGATAACTACAATACAATAGGTCTATATTACAGTGTGTGGGTGTATAAATCTAATACGAAAAGAATCCGATAATATACTAGAAACAGGTGCTACTGCTTATTCTCAGTTTTGACAGTTTGCTCATTTTGCTGAAAAAGTAAAAATGAACAAAAGTGACCTTCTCATTAAAATTCATAAGTGCACGTGTAAAGCATTAAGCCACGTCCCTAGTAATAATGGCACTGGGTGTGATGAGGAAGAGTCTGGAGCTAGTGCATGCTAAACACATCTTAATCTTGTGTAAATGCAATGTACCTACTATCAAGAGATCTACCCTTACTAATATAAAAATTTAACTTTATGTTCATTAGCAAACTACACGGTAAAAACTAATAAGTACTAAAAATTAATAATACAGGCATTCACACATATTGAGAAAATAATGCAACTAAAATAGTACATCGACCTAGTCAAGATAATTTGCACATTAGCAAAAAGTTGATTAAGTTATAAATCAGTCACAGTTGGTATTTCATATTCAGTAGAAGGTGGGGGGAGAGAAGTCTCATATTCATCATTAGTTGTATCATACACTGGCTCAACAGTTGATCTATCAATAATAACTTTAAATAATAATAATAATTGTATTTTATATAACTGACTGTGTTTGTTCACTTTGTTGTACTGTATCATATGTTGGACCATCCTTCACTGATGCATCATCAGCAGTACTGCATGTGTATGTATCAGTGCAATGTACTAGTCAATAGTGTAACTAACTTTGTTTTAAATTCAGTTGTAGCATAAGCTGGACTGCATTCCATTACAATGTCATTATCTGATTTTCTAAGAACCACAAATTTTAAGTAATTATTGCATGCATTTATATACCTCTTTTGATTAATATTATTTCTTTTTATGTACATAAGCAATATCAATATAATAATTATAGATATAGCCAATAGTAATATTAATATTGCCACAACAACTATCCATCCAATGTTTCCTCCATTATTCACTATTACACATGTAGTTGGCACAACAGTAGTGTCAGTTGAATAAGAAACTATAATTTGAATCAATATTATAGTTATAGCATTAATAAATTACTGTTATAGGATTAATCAATGGAAAAATTAAAAACTATCTATGATAAAAGTAATTTCTTACATATTTGAGCAGTATTAAATTCTTTCTGAGTCCATTCTCCTGGTCCAATACTAGTATATGCTCTCACTCCAATAGTATAACTAGTATTAGGTATCAATCCTACTATACTGTAATAAGTGTTAGTAGTGTTAGTTATATTGTATGGACCAGTACTGGTAGACTCTCTATATCTTATCTCATATACTGTAATGATACCATTAGGTATTGTAGGAGGATTCCATGAGATAGTGATTCTGGTTGGTGTCCTTGCATGCATCAGATCAGATATCACACCAGGAACTGTGTTAAATGAAATAATATTGAATTATTATGCATGTACATGTACATGAATGAAAACATAATTGGAAAAATTCATAATCA